TGCTTGGGCACAACTGGAGATAAGGATTTGCACTTGCCCTAACTTTGAGAAAATTTGGAGAATTCTAGGGCTTGCTCTTGAGGCAGCAATTTGTGTCCCTCTTTGTCTCTATGTATTAGGTATATATAGGAGAGTGCATTAGGTCAAGAGATATGGAAAGAACCTTGTGCAATCAAAGCCAAATAAAACAAGAATAAAACATGTTTTTCAAGCTTCCATATTTGAATATTCTTGCCATATTTGAATTCACACGGTTTTGGCAAGTTAGATATGTGATCTTGGGCTTCAAAATGATCCAAAACAAAAGCTTACATGCCTTGGTCCATTAATTTAATATTTTATTTTATTTATTTTGCTTTTAAATGAATAAAAATCAAAATAAATGAAATAAAAATAAAAGATAATGCATGAATGGACTTATGGGTCCTTAAACATGTCATGAATATGTTTGAAACAAAAAACTTAGGCCCACTAGCCCAAAAATACAATTTTGCTCAAAGTGGACTTCATGCATTTTCTAAAAATTGCTTAACTTGCACCAATCATAACTCAATTTTTGTCATATGAAGTTGATCTTTGACTTTTTGGAAAGCTCAAGATGTCCGCCCACAACTCTCATGTTGGTCATTTTTTCATTTGAAGTTTCTATCTTGATGTAAATTGCTTTGAAAAAAATGTCTTTTTGTTGACTTTTAAAAATGACCTGTAATGTTTTGACCTATATCTCTCAAATGAAGCATCTTTTGACCTTGAGCTTAGAGAGACGGAGTTGTAGAGAATTGAATTTACTTAAAAATGAGCTTTGGTTGAGAATTTTAGGATTAAGCATGTGAAAGTTATGCTTGGTCAAAGTTCAGTTGACTTCTCCTAAAGAAAACCCTAATTTAGTAACTTTTGTCTTTTGATGAATCTTGAGTTTTCTTGATGAATCATGACCAAGCCTTGATCAAATGATAATTGTGACTTCAAAATATTGATGTTGAGCAAAAATCTTGAGTTTTGACTGTATGTTGACCATAATTGATTTTTTATCCAATACAGTTGACTTTTAATCATCTGAGCAATTGATTGAGCAAACTTGTGATGCAAGGCTTGAAACTTGTCATGAGGATACCTTGAAGCATATGAGGAATCATGGAATCCACTTTACGCATTAGAAGCTCAATTTTATTTGAGAAACACAAAACCCTAGTTGTCGGTCAATTGCTTAGGAGAGGTGCTTGTATGCTCAAACCCTTGAGTATTCTTGAGAAATTGAGAACCCTAGGAGCATGAGAAGGTTTATTGAATCAATTGTCTTCCAAAAATGGGAGGGAAAATTTTGGGGTACAACAGACATTTTTGTGAAAATACTAAAAGTCAATCAATCTCATTCAAATCATTTTTCCACTTTGGCTTTTTTACTTTAAAATTTTCTCAAAATATTAGACTCTTGTCAACCCTTGTAGTGATACGAACTACTATACTTCTACGATACGTAGTGAAGTGAGATATTTTCAACTTGGGTGCTGAGTGAGGCTTTGTTGATTTTAAAATCCAAGGTATATCCTTTGTGGGTAGTAAGTATGTTTCTCCACTCGGATATAATGATGGTGTCTCTTCTCTTAAAATTAACCAACACACTTGTGTCTCTTTCTCTTCAGTACCTACAGAGGTTATTTCTATATCTGCAAAAATTTCAATAAGCTTTGACTTTTCTGAGTCAAGCTCATCATTAATTCTAATAATTATTGATTCTTTCATATTATGTGTTTCTGTATCGTATACTCTGTAGAGTTTAGAGCTTTTTGAGTATCCTGATATAGTACACTTTTTGCTTTAGGATCAGACTCATTTAGACTACCTTTTATGCAAAGAATACAGCAAGAACATCCAAAATAACATGAACAAGATCTGTTGGATTTTCATCCCTGACATGACTCATAAGGAGTCTTTTTAAGAATGGATCTCATGGGGATTATATCCTGAGAGTAATATGCTGCATTAGAAGCTTCTACTCAGAAGTGCTTGGCCATGTTGGATATATTTATTATATTTTTGGAAACTTCTTGCAGTTTTCTATTTTTTCTTATTATAGTTTTAATGCAACTGACATCAAGGATCATGGACGTTATTCTGCTTCTTTCTTAGTTGTCATTTATAAATTTCTGAAATATTTTATCATGTTTATATATAACAGTATCATAAGATGAGAGAGATTTAGAATCAACACTTTTAGATTTTGGCAAACTTTTTCTTAGACATATTTTTCAGTTTTCGATAAAGAAGAGTCATCTTTTAGTTCAGAACTTTCTTTCTCTAGCCTATCATATTTTTCACTTTCATAGTCATGAGTCTCCTGAGAGTTCATGAATATTAGTTGAAACCTCTGATCCAGAGTTTCTGATAAACATATTTCGAATTTAGTTCGAGAGAGTTCAGAAATGACCCCTTCAGAGTCTGACTCTGTATATGACAAGTTTTCTTCTGAAGTGATAGTTGTGAATGCTACTTTAACGTGATATTCATCAGAATCTTATCTGGATTCTTCTGAGTCATCCCATGTTACCATGAGACATTTCTTTCCACCTTTGAAGTTGTTGTTCTTGGAACCTTCATTTCTAGATCCTTCTTTCTTTAGCTTTGGACACTCATTCTTGTAATGTCCTGGTTCATTACATTCTAAGCATGTAACTACTCTGTTGTCCCTTGAATATTATTCTTAGTAATTTCTTCTGAATCTTATGGAATTGTTTTGTATTCTTTTCCAGAGTTGTTTCGCTCTTCTGGAAAGTAATGACAATTTATCATCACCAGAATCTTCATCATCCAAATCTTCTTATTCGTCAGATTTAAGAGCTTTGAATCTCCCTATTTTGATCTCCTTTTGGGATTTAGACCTTAGAGGGATAAATTTTACTTGTTTCTGAGGTTCATCTTCCTCTAACTCTATTTCATGACTTCTTAAAGAGCTAGTCAGCTCTTCGAGACTGATTTTGTTCATATCTTTAGAAAGTTTCAAAGTTGTTACCATAGGTTTCCACTTCTTTGGAAGACTTCTGAAAATCCTCTTTACATGGTCTGCTGTTGTGTACCCTTTGTCTAGAACTTTGAGTCCTGCTACTAAGGTTTGAAATCTTGAGAACATGGTTTCAACAGTTTCATCTTCTTCCATCTTGAATGCTTCATACTTCTGGATTAAAGTTAATGCTTTAGTTTCCTTTAATTGAGTGTTTCCTTCACGAGTCATTCTTAATGAGTCAAACATCTCCTTAGATGTATCTCTGTTGGTGATTTTCTCATATTCATTATATGAGATAGCACTGCGAAGAATGGTTCTAGTTTTATAGTGATTCTTGCTTCGGCTTTTCTGATCTTCACTCATTTGACTCCTAGGAATAGGAATACCTTCTGGTTTTAGTTGCTCTTGCTCTTGTTCCAGCATCTTTCTTTTCTTCCCTGTGTATGTTCCTTTAATAATTAGATCCAAAAGCGGTTTGTTGTGGTCCTTACTCTTTTGCCCTAGCAACTCAACTTCCAATTGACTATTTGATTCTCGAAGACCCATATTCTCCTCGCTTGAGTGAGGGTTCGAAAAAACTCTTACGCTCACCGGTGGGGTAATCGCCGCATTCTTCCTCAGCTGGCCACACCCTATACTCCCTACATTGTTCTCGATTCAACCACTTACACCTTTTCCGACTAGGACCGTAGTCCAAAAACTAGGAGTTTAAACCATCTCTGATCAGGTTTAGCCGTTGAAAACTAAGAAAATCGTAGGTCAATTTGCCCTCCTCCATTGTCAGGAATCGTTTTGTCGTGTCAGATATTTCGTCAGAAATCGCCAGACGCGTTTCAGAAAACATAACATATATAAGATTATAGAAACATATAAAAACAAAAACTCAAGAACACATAAAGAAATAAAAATAAAAGATGTGAAAAAAGAGGTAACCAACAATGAAGCCTTTGAAGATGGAGGATGTTCGTGTTATTTGCAATATCATTCAATAACTTCTTCCTCAAACTCTCTCAATAAATAAACTCTATTTCCCTATCAATTTTTTCAACATTTCTTTACTCTCCAACTCTCACAATAAATAAACTTTCTTTCCCTATCAAAATTTTCAGCATTTTTCATATACTTTAACAAAATATTTGAGAAATATATTTGATACAAATATTATTATGTTGATTAGATAAACATTATCTGAACTCTTGAAGAGATTATAAACTCTTATTGCTAAGAGAAAGAATTATAAATTAAATATTAGAAAAATAATTTTTTGAATTTAATGATAATATATTGTCGGTGTAAATAAGTATTACACAAACATTCAATCAAAATATTTTAAAGTGTTAATCTATGAATAATTTAAAATTTATAATATGATTTAAAGAAATATATAGTTGTTATTAATTGACATTGTAAAAATATTTATAATGCACCATCCATTTTCTTTTCTTTTTTAATTTTTAAATAATCTTAGTTTATATAGAAAATGTGCTAAAGTGATTAAATATGTGAACAAAACATTCCTTGAAATTTTTACTATTTTTCGTACACTCGATTACTTGATTTTGTTGAGATTTTTTGTTCCACTTATAAATCAAGGAAAATTGCGGATACTACGAATTAATGTCGAAACGGTCCCTGGTAGCGAACACTGGACGGTTCACCAAATTCAATGAACTTTCAAAAGGCCAGGGGCAAAACAGTCAATAACCAAACTTTTGGTGGGAAAAGAAAACGGCATGGTAGTTACCAATTCAAAAGTTCAAAAACACTCCAAACTCAAAAATTTTCATCTTTTCAACTTCTTCCCTTCAATTTGGGTAATCCTAGATTTTCTCCCAGTTTTTGTGTTCATTCTCTTTTTCTCTCATTCATCACAATCACACACTTCTTCACTTTGTCTTATTAACTTGTCATCATTATTATTCTCTCGACATTGATTTCAATTCGAAATATAGTCACAAATTTTATTTTTGGTTCTTTGTGGAATCTTTTTGCAGGATCAATGAAGTCTTGGTCTCCCGATGAAGAAATAGACGCGAACGGGTTCGATGATCTTAACAAACCGTTGTTACTGACTCAAGAAGATGATACACCTCGACGACATGGTGTACTTACGCCTCAAATAAATGATATCAAGAGTTTTGATTCTAAAATTAAGAGAAGCCTCAAGTCCATCATGGTTTCACCACTTGGCGCAAATTCCATTAATGTAAGTCAACAACATTTATAAAAATATAATGTTTTCAGTTATATTCATAATAGTCTCCAAGTTTAGAATGTGATTCACTCAATGAAGAATAGTACAAAAAGAATAAAATCGGTTTAAAATGACTTTGACTGTGAGATAAAATGTTGAGATTGAAAACTGTGTGATGCGAATTATTTGTAGGCAAATGAGATAGAAGAAACTAGAATTGAAGTAAATGAGGTGACGGAGAAAGAAATATCAGAATGCCGAATCAAGATTAAGGGAATGACGTGCACGAGCTGTTCTCGATCTGTAGAGCATGCCTTGCAAATGGTTGATGGAGTGAAAAAGGCCATAGTTGGTCTAGCCTTAGGTGAAGCAAAAGTAGTCTTTGATCCTAAAGTCATAGATACCAACAAGATAATTGAAGCCGTAGAAGATGCTGGTTTTGGAGCAGAACTCGTTAGTTCGAGGAATGATATGAACAAAGTGCATCTAAAACTTGAAGGGATAGATTCAGTAGAAGATTTAAATGTTATAGTTTCTTCTCTTAATTTAGCTTCCGGTGTGAATCGTGTTGAAGTGGATTTAACGGAACATAAAGTTACAGTTAGCTATGATTCAGATATTACAGGTCCAAGATTTCTTATACAGTGTGTTCATGAAGCTAGTAGTGGTCACAGTGTGTATCAAGCAACTTTGCATACTAATTCCGGAAGTAGAGAAAGAGAGAAGTTGAATGAAATTCGTATGTACAGAAACCAATTTTTGTTAAGCTGCTTATTTTCTGTTCCCGTGTTTATGTTTTCCATGCTTCTTCCCATGCTTCCTCCGTATGGTGACTGGTTAAACTATAAGATTCATAATATGTTCACTCTTGGGTTGTTTTTGAGATGGATCCTTAGCACTCCTGTTCAGTTCATTATTGGCAAAAGGTATTATACTATTTAGGTTCAAATATGTTTTTTCGTCCTCGCAACTGTAAGGATAAGATTTTGTAATTCTTTTTCCTTGGATGTGATCATCAGGTTCTATTTAGGGTCATATCATTCACTAAGGAGATGGTCTGCAAACATGGATGTGCTGGTAGCACTTGGAACTAATGCTGCTTATTTCTACTCAGTATATGTTGTAGTTAAAACACTAACTTCGGCTACATTTCAAGGACAAGATTTCTTTGAGACCAGTTCTATGCTGATATCATTTATTCTATTAGGCAAATATTTGGAGATTATGGCGAAAGGGAAAACATCGGCCGCTTTAGAAAAGCTTATACAACTTGTTCCTGATAAAGCTTATTTGCTAGATTTTGATGCTAATGGAAATGTGGTTGGAGAGACAGAAATTGACACTGAACTTATACAAAAGAATGACATGATCAAGATTGTTCCCGGTGCTAAAATTCCAGCTGATGGTGTTGTTATAAAAGGGAAAAGTTGTGTGAATGAAAGTATGATCACAGGTGAATCAAGACCTGTTAATAAAATTCCAGGAGATAAGGTATTATTCATATGGATTAACTTTTCGTTACGATTAACTATGCATATAATATATAGTGTGTCAGACGTGTCTATGTCAGCGCTTCATAGCTGAGAACATTGTACTCGTGTGGGAGACAGGTTATCAGTGGGACCATCAATGAGAGTGGTTGTTTACTGATCAAGGCAACTCATGTTGGATCTGAGACCACACTTTCTCAAATAGTTCAACTTGTAGAAGCTGCTCAACTTGCAAGAGCACCAGTTCAGAAACTTGCAGATGATATTTCAAGGGTTTTCGTTCCAATAGTGAGTGTTCTTCCTCCATCTAGTTTTTCCTTTCAACAATATTTCACCGTGGTTAAATAGTGGCCCTATACTGTGGAAGAACTTGAACAAATCGCTATTGTTCTGTGCTACCTTATTCAAGTACAAATGTTTTGCTGCATGTAACTAATCAGTTTTCCTTATAGGTTGTTGTTGCAGCCTTCATAACTTGGCTTGGATGGTTTATTCCTGGAGAAGCAGGTTTATACCCGAAAAATTGGATCCCGAAGGCTATGGATGCATTTGAATTTGCTTTGCAGTTTGCTATTTCTGTACTAGTTGTTGCTTGTCCATGTGCTCTTGGTCTAGCTACACCAACCGCAATCATGGTGGCTTCAGGTGTTGGTGCTTCTCAAGGTGTTCTCATCAAAGGTGGAGATGCAGTGGAAAAAGCACACAAGGTAATAGTCTTGATACTTTCACTTGATATATAATTGGAATTTTATTCCTTTTTTCATGATTCACAGGTGAAAATTGTTGTGTTTGATAAGACTGGGACATTGACAATTGGGAAGCCAGTAGTGGTTAGAGCAATGCTGTTTTCTAAATTTTCTATGGAGGAGTTATGTGACATGACAATTGCTGTGGAGGTATTGCTTTAGATGTTGCATAATTTTAGTTTAGAAAAATCTAAACACTTGATGATTATATAAATTATTCTTAGGCAAATAGTGAACATCCAATAGCAAAAGCTGTTGTGGCGTATACAAAGAGACTGCGCATGAGTTTTGGATCCTCTAGCAAAGATCAAGTAGAAGATGTGAATGACTTTGAAGTACACATGGGAAGTGGAGTAAGTGGAAAAGTTAAGGAAAAAACAGTTCTACTTGGAAACAAGAGACTCATGCATGCTTTTAATGTACCAATGAGTCCCATGGTGGAGACGTTCGTATCCGAGAATGAAACTTTTGCAAGAACATGTGTATTAGTTTCAATTGAAGGAAAAATTGCTGGAGCATTCTCAGTAACTGATCCTGTAAAGCCGGAGGCAAAGAGTGTCGTATCGTTTCTTCACTCCATGGACATCTCAGCCATCATAGTCACAGGTGATAATTGGGCTACTGCAAATGCAATTGCAAATGAAGTTGGTATTAGAGAGGTTTTTGCTGAGATAGATCCTCTTGGAAAAGTCGATATAGTCAAAGACTTGCAGGTAAGGTCTTATCTTCATCTTATAAAGAGTAATCTCAAATTTTTGAAAGCGCTGTGCAGGTTAGGCACAGTTTACTCGTGCGAAAACAAATAGAGACTATTTAACCATAATTTAACAGTTCAGTAATTTATGAGGCCCCTATTTTAAGCACCATTTAACCATGATAGATTTTGGGCCCTCTACTACATATCCTCAAAGACGACTATGATCTTATATGTTTCTCTATATAAAACATATTTGATGTTTGATAAGGTTGTAATATTTGAAACTGAAACTGGATGCAGATGAAAGGAATGGTAGTAGCAATGGTAGGCGATGGAATAAACGACTCACCAGCTTTAGCAGCTGCTGATGTTGGTATGGCAATTGGTGCTGGAACAGACATAGCAATAGAAGCAGCTGATGTAGTTCTTGTCAAAAGCAACCTAGAAGATGTGATTACAGCAATAGATTTGTCAAGAAAAACCATATCTCGTATCTGGCTCAACTATATATGGGCTTTTGGTTACAACATTCTTGGTATGCCAATTGCGGCGGGTGTTTTGTACCCTTTTTTTGGAATCAGGTTGCCTCCATGGCTTGCTGGTGCTTGCATGGCTGCTTCATCACTTAGTGTAGTTTCTTCATCACTCTTGTTGATGCTTTATAAAAAGCCTTTGAAGATGGATTATGGTTTGTCTAATGTTTAAGTCCACATTTTAGCTTCTTGAAGTCTCATCTAGGTTTCAAAGCTTTTTGTTTTAGGCTTAGATTAACAATGTGCTTTGTTTATATGCCATTCAAAACAACACAACAAAAAATGCTTTGTACATTTTTAGACTTTGTCTTTGCCATAACAACTCATCCTAGTTCTTATGTTGATTTATAATATAAACCTTTGGTGTAATGGAGTTTGGTTCTGATGTAAATAAAGTCTGGCTAATTATTATTTTTACTATAGAATCAATTTAGATACTTCCAATCCATTTAATTTTTAAGGTTTATCTCACTCTTATTCTCGAATCCTTTTTAGAAAGAAAAAACTAATATATCAATCTTGTGATAATAATAAGAAAACTATTTACTTGGATTCAAATTTGAAACTATGCAATTGTATGTGAGTTTTAGGTTATATATATATATATATATATATATATATATATATATATATATATATATATATATATATATATATATATATATATATATATATATATATATATATATATATATATATATATTAAGGTAGAGAGAGAAATTGATTTTGTCAAGGAATTAGAATCAAAATATTTTAAGGTAGAAAGAAAGCAGAACATATATAAAATATTTTTATATTAAAATTGCGTGCTTCAAAAGGAAATAAAAATCCATTTATATAGGGATACAAAGGCTTACTATTTAAGCCGGTAATAGTTACATATGATAGTCAGTTACAACAAACAAAGATGAATTATTAATGTCGGGTACATCCTGGGCCCCATCGACACAAAAATAATCCACAAACAACAAAAAACTTTTAAAGTAGATAGAAGATTCTTTTTTATTGTTTCAAGATAAGATTCTCTCTTATCTTTGTTTTTGGCATTATTGCTTATGGATAATTCTTGTCATTGCTTTGTCTCTTGTCATAGCTTTATTGCCAATAAGATTCTTTTTTATTGTTTCAAGATAAGATTCTCTCTTATCTTTGTGTTTGACATTATTGCTTACGGACAATTCTTGTCATCGCTTAGTCCCTTGTAATAGCTTTATCCTTGACTTTTTCTTTAGTCTTTTTGGCCATAGATTGAATCATAGCATCTCAGAAGTCTTCAGCTGTGGGATCATTATTTTGAGTTTCTTCAGCTAAATCTTCAAAGGTGTTGGAATCTATTGATCCCATGGATGAATTGGTCTTCATGGATTGCATATCATCTTTTGAAGTTTGAGATTGGAAAGTGTAGAAGAATTGAGTCTTCATATGATCTAAAGTTCTGACCATAATTTCTTCTTCTGTTTCATGGGGATACTTTCTTTGAAAAAAGTTTTTTAGGTTTCCCATAGACATTTGTTGGGAGTTTTGTTCTCTAACATTGTTATTTTTGTCTTCTTCACTCATGGCTGATTTGATTAGAACAATTTTGTCCTGGATATCTTCTAAACTCATTTTATTCCATCATTTGTAGAAAAAAATTCTTTCTAGAATTGGGACATTAAACTTGTCACTGGAAATAGTGATAGTCCATCTCCAAATCCAAGGAATTTGAAACTTAGTGAAGAAAAGAAATGGACATTGTCCAGTTATCAAATTTGATGAAATATTTAACACTAGTGGACTATTTTCGCACCAAAGAGTATACAACTCATTTAACTCTTTTGGAAAAATTTCTAGCGTAGGACCAAATTTAATCCACCAGGCATAAAACCAATTTGGAATGGGTCTATTAATCACGTCTGGATTAATTGAGAAAAATCAAGAATGTTTGTTCTTAGGACTTTGGTAATAAAAGGCTTGGGCGAAAGTCTGGACATAGTACAAATAATTGAAATAAATATATTTTCCTTCGGCAATTCTTATTGTCTTTTTACCATTAGGGTTAAGACTCAATTATCTAGGTGATAAGATCTTATTAATGTGGCATTTGCTGAAGTTTATAAAACTTTCAGGATTGTTGTTTTGATAATGATGAGTAAAAGTTGTTGATTCAGTAACTGCTAGTAATATTTCTAAATGTGGTCTTGATTTACCATGAAGGCCTGGATATCCTCTTGATTCGAGGTATCTTGTTTTGATAGCCCATTCATCATTTGGATTTATTTTTATATCCTCATCATCAATATACATAATTTTTTCTGTAACTGGATTCTCAAAATAATCAGTTACTTATTCTTGAGGGGGGGGGGGGGGGGGGGGGTCATTGACCGTAATTTCTTTGTAAGATATAATATTTTTAGAAGATGAAGAAGAAGGTATATCTTCCTTTTTTTAGGTAGGTAATTGTTGTATATTTCTACCTTTGTAGACTGTAGTCCAATCCCCTATAAGGGGAATGTTTAATTCACTTTGGGGTAACATATTGTTACTCTCTCTTCCAAGGCCTCGTCCATAACCGCTGCCTCTTCCTCCCCTAGATGGAGGTGTCATTCTTTTCCTGCAAAAATTCACGTGAGATAATCAACAAGTGAATTATTTTCACCTTTAATATGTTTAATATCAAATTCAAACATCGATAGTTGAGATTGCCAGCTAGCAAATATTTGTTTTGCAACAAGATTTTTAACATCTTTTTCAATAATTGATTTGGTAGAGCTGAAGTCAATTTGTAATAAAAAAAATTTATTAAGTAAATCATCTTGAAATTTTGAAGCACATTTTATAATAGAAAGCATTTCTTTTTTGATGGTCGAATATTTTGACTAAGTAGGATTCCATTTACCAGAGGTAAACCTAACCAAAACTTCTTTAGATGTTTTAGGTATAATCTGTTTTAGAATTCCTCCATATGATAAGTCTGAAGCATCAATTTCAACGATTTTAAAATATTTGGGATTAGCCAGAGATAAGCAAGGCAAATATTTAACCTTATTTTTAATTCTTCGGACTGCTTGAGAATGTTTATCAGTCCAACGGCCATGATTTTTCTAAGCCTAGCATGTAATATACTACTATCATTGGCAAGATTTTCATAGTAATCAGTAATATAATTAAGACTACCAAGAAATCTTTATAATTGTTTCTTATCAATAATGATATCAGGGAACTTAGAAGCAAGTTAAATACTTCTTTGAATAGGAATAATAGTTCCTTGATCAATTTCATGGCCTAAAAATCTAATTTTAGTCTGAAATACTTTCATCTTAGGAGCGGATATAACTAATCCATTATGCTTAATTAAACCCTTAAATATTTTTAAATGTTTCATATGTTGATCAATTGTTTTAAAAAAAACTAAAACATCATCAATGTAAACAATTATAAATTCCGTATAAGGAATAAAAATATCATTCATAATATTTTGAAATTCAAAAGGAGCGTTCTTTAGCCCAAACGGGAGGAAATTCCATTCGAAATGTCCAAAAGGCACAATGAAGGCCGTTTTATACTTATCAGATTCATTAATCTGAATTTGCCAATGGCCATATTTCATATCGAATTTAGAGAAGATTAAAGCAGTGTTTAATCTATCTAATAAATCCTTTTTATTAGGAATAGGATATCTAATCCATTTCAACACCTTATTAAGGGGTTTATAATTGATAACAAGTCTAGGGACGCCGCGTTCTCTTTCAGCAGCACTATTAACATAAAAAGCAGTGCAACTCCAAGGAGATTTAGATTTTCTAATTAAACCTTTCTCTAAAAGAGGATTTATTTCTTCTTTATATAGGTTTAAATACTCATGATTCATCTGGGCTGGTCTGGCTTTAGTGGGAATCTGACTTTCATTAAAGTCATCAAGATAAGATAAAGAAATAACATGTTTCTTTCTATCCCAAAAAGCGTTTGGAAAATCATTGCAAACTTCATCTTTAAACTGTTGATCAATTAATTTAATTTGTCCTTTTATCTCATCTTTATTAAGTTGTTCACTAATATTTAATAAACTAACTTCTTCTTTAAGAAAACCTAATTGTTTTTCTTTATTTAAGAGAATACTTTTGACCTCATTAAGCATTTTAATATGAGGATCAATAATGAATTCAAAAGTGACCTTCTTACCATTAATCATGGTGGTGATGCCTTTAGTGTCAATATTTATTAAAGGCATAATGCTATTTAAAAAAAGAGTTCCAAGAATAACCCTATGAGTTATGTTTTTAACTAATATGAAATGGGTAGGTAAACAAACATCTTGATTGTAAATGTAGGTATTAGGTAATTTATAATTAACCGTTAATTTGTCGCCACTAGCCTAAGCAAGGGTTTGAGTGGTTTTGGTATAATATTTGGTAGGAACAATTCCCTCCTGGAGACAATTAAGTTCAGCGCCACTATCAATAAGGGCGACTTCATTCTGTAATATAAACATTATGTTAATAACTAAAGTTATTCTAACAAATCATTTTTGAGAAATTACTCTGTCAATAAGAGTGAGAAATCTATCATTAGTGGAAAGACTACTAGTATAAGATATTTCTTCAACTTTAGGGGTACCCGTTTCAAGTAAGGAACCCCTTTGAGATAATTTTTTATTATCCTTCTTTATCTGAATAATTTCAGATTTCAAAAGATTAATTTCTTTGTTTAAATCAGTAAGGGAAACAGGAGTTTCACGGGTATGGGACTGTTGAAATCTGGATAAAACCTCACTTAATTGGTAAGGGGCTTCAATAATAATAGGAGATTCTTTTTTAGAGTTTTCTTGAATTAAAACTTCAAGAATTTTTCTTTTAAGGTTATTATCAGAAATAGACTCAATAGCTTTTATAGCTTCATCTTATTCTGTAGTAAGAACATTAAGACCGTTCATGTCAACAATAGACTTCGAATAATCTATTTGATTATATTGACAATTATTATTGTCAGAACTATCAGAGGAATAATCTGATGATGATTCATAGATCATGCCAATATCTTCATTAGAAGAATTGGTTTCTGAGTCAGATTTAAGTAAACAAACTTTCTCAAGTTAAGAGCGTAATTGCTCATCCTCGATTTCATTGAGAGCTTTTTTGGTCCAACACTGGTTTGCATAGTGACCAGCTTTACCATGTTTATGGCAAGATACAT